AGGCAGCGAAGCATCCACTGTGCCCCCCATGCCAGAGGAATATCTGAATAATACTGCTGCTCTTTCTCCTACCATTCCTCTGGGAAGTGAACATTGCAAATACGTGATAAAAAAAACTATACAATTAAAGCATCTAGCAGTGAGTCACCCAGGTGCAACTCATATATTCAATCCACTACTTGTTACTTGCACTTAATTGTATGCTATTTTGGTTTTAGGTGGTTAATTAACTTGACTTACGTTTTGCATGTTCTGCACACATGTTGGTTTTGTCTGCAGCACAAATTCTTGCCTGTCATTCCCTTCCTCCTCTCCCAGGTGTGCCAGTGAAGGTGACCAATGTGAAAGAGGGGAAGTGTGTCGACTCCGCCCTGCAAATCTTCATGTACCTCAACGAGATTGGGTAATTGATCTCATTCATGTGTACAGAACTGAGCTCGGGCAGATGCTCTCAGTCCAGTTAATTAGTACGTCGTTTTGTTTTCTGGTAGGCTTCAGATGTTTCTATGATTTAAAGGAAGATGAGGATTTATCATGATGTCTTTAGATAAATGTGCTGTATATACTGTGTAATATTTAAGTGAGCATCCATCATTTAGAGACTGTGTATGTATGTGAAAAATGCATCAAGGACCAATAGATGGAGACCAAGACACAACAGCCAGTACCTGTCCATCATAGCCATGCCTGGTAGAGAAAGACAGTGATTCTATATATCAAATTCACATGGTTGTGAGGAAAAGGGATGACTCTCCTACCTACATCTGGAAATGCCCTTTTTAACCTGGCACAGCCCTTTATATGAGTGTATTGCTGGTAATGTAAGCAGCTCTTAATGAAAATACATAATGGCTGACACATTATCGTTCCTGCCACCTGTAGATCTGTTCAAATCATCAGTGACCATAGGTCTTTATTTCCCTACAAAATACTTTTTTTTTCCATGAAACTTTGCAACATTAAGTCTAAGACTGAATCTGTAGGATTAGAAATGAGTAACTTTAACAACTGTATTATAATTGTAGTTTTAATGTTCTGATTATGTATTTGACTGATGAAAAAGAGATGATGTCGGAGTTGATTCTGGAATTGTTTTTAGCTCTGTTATCTTCAGAGGCATCGTAGGACCCTAGTAAGCTCACCGTGTGCTGGTACGATATCACTGAACTTGAAGTGTGCTCCAGTGACTGCAATCCACCTTTAATGACAAGTGATGGAGCGTGACAAGAAATGTGATAACGCTAACTCTGGGGGGCATTGTTGTAACTTTGCCACTTGGTGCTGAATGCCTCCAGTACCTTATACCTTGAATAGCAGTTCACTCGTGCCTGTACAATCTCCCTTGCCCTCCAGCCCAGCTGTCTGGAGTCTGTTCCGTCTCACATTCCCAATGTTAATGACCGAATTCTCCTGTCCTGCTCTGAATACAGCTGCTACCTTTGAAAAACTTGAGAAGAAACCTTTCCCTCTTTGAGTCCCGGATCCTCTTTCAGCAGATGACTTCCTTCTTCTCCGGCGCTAATTCCTGCGGGTCAGCGTGCCGAGCTGTGGGCCCGAGTGAGATGAAAGCAGGATTAGCATGGCAATGAGCTTGTATCTACAGTGGAATGGACGTGTTAGTCAAGGAAAACAGAGGATTGGGGCTATTACTGTAGCCAACCTGTATCAGGAACAGACTGTTGTTCATTATTCCACACACAGATTAGCATTGAAAGGTTTCCAACGTGCTTATTGGTTTATTATATTCAGTATCGTACATATTTAGGTTTCATTACAGCGTACCTGTTTGCAAAAAATAGCAGTTATCCCTTTCAGGCTTTCAGTTCTCGTCATTTCCAAGTTAATTTTTCATGTTTGCATTTTTTTTTCCCCAACTTCTTTTCAACCTACAACCCCCTTCCTGGTGGCCTTGTACAGAGACATCTGTCTCCCTGTAGCTTTTGACGTGTTAAAATAGATTTTGGTATAACTTGGTCGCAAAGTTCCCTATATTATCATTCTATGAGGTTTATCGGAGATGCGATTACTGCTGATTGGTCCAATATCGTTTATTGCACATTTAGATAATGACTGATAAGCAAAAGCAACGTTGCTGTACAATCTCCATGACCAGCAGAGATCACTCTTCAAACCAGCTTTCCCTGTGCTGTCAGCCTAAGCTACCATCTTAGCAACAAGATGTAATTTCTTCAAACCTCTTCCTGGTAATGTTTGTCCCACCTGTCTGCCTGTTCTGTAGTGTAAAACATGCAGTGTTTTTCCCCCATATGGAATCCCCTGTCTGCATGACTCCTTCTTTAACTGCCCCTCTGCCACTTCTGTGCTCTTTTTTTTTTGGGAGGGGGGGAGACTCTGTGTTGTCATCTCACAGAACAGGGGGACTTGCGGGGAATTATGGGAGACTAGGGTTTTCCTTTCTTTTTGAATGAGGCCAAATGCTCCTTGTCCCAGTTGATCATCCTCTTCCTTTGTTGTATGTGTGCCTGTACGAACCTGGAACAGTTCTACATTTTTAATATGACACTTCCTTTAGGACTGCCTTCAGCAGCCTTAGCAGATAAAGATGGTGTACCTGCTTTCCTGTGATCACTGCAGTTTGTTCAGGTACCCATTGCAACAACTTCAGGCCCGACTAAAAAAGTAGTATTTTACTTATACAATTGATATTTTCTTGTGGAAGGAAACGAGATGTTCTTTCACATTTTTCAACATACTGCTGTGCTCATACTGCTCAGAAAGACAGACAGGAGGCAGATCACGCTGAAGTTCTGAACAATGTTATATCCTCCCTTGTGTTTCCTGCGATCACAGAAACTCAAAGCACACTATACAAGAGCAGTCAGTATGCAGAGTTGAAGTAGCTAATCCATCACATTTTCTAATAAAAATCTGCTTGACTCCTTGTCAGATGGGCCTTGTTATTACCCACATTTGTTTCCCTCTGCATATCAATAGAGCTAAAAGGCTGCTGCTTTTTTGTACCGGTCTATCAGTACCAGTATTTCAGGAGAAAATAATTCTTTTTTTAGCATAAAGAAGAAAACAAAATGAATGAAAAGAGTGGAACAGCGATAAAAATGTCGAAGACTTTATTACATCAGTGTTTTTCTATGTGTACAGAATCAGAAAGTTTCAAAGCGCCGGTTCTTTGGGAAATATCTTCATTATGTCGGCGGGTTTTCCTCTGCTTTCGGCAATATGCTGCCTTTTTTTTTCCCCGAACGGGTCTCCTTGTGTCACAACTGCGACGTGCGAGAGGGAGTGTTTGGGGGGTAGAGCGCTGGGGAGCAGTGGGCTAACCCGGTCTCTGCTTCTCCTGGGACAGGGGGAAGCACGGAGTGGGAAGAGTGGACATTGTGGAGAATCGTTTCATCGGCATGAAGTCCAGAGGTAAGCAGGGCGCAGTGTGAACGGCGTTGGTCTTCTCGGTTGTCATGTATTCATTGGAAACTCGGTTATGTGCTTTACTCCCTACAGCAGCTCCGCTCTGAAACGAGCGTCCCTGGGGAAAATTCGGGGAGGTGGTAGATGAAGAGAGGTGCTTTATAAAATCATCTAAAAAAAGGATGGCTTGGTAGCCAAGCTCGGCGCTCCAAACAACTTCTCCGGGCGGTGGAGGAGTGAAGGCGGCGGTTACGATCCCGCACTCCGAGTGGAGTCGGGGGGGGGCTGCTTTTAAGGCCTGACAAATTAGTGTTCTTGTGTTGACCCATGAAGTTATTCTGTTAGCCAGGCTCTTTAAATCAGTTCACTGTTCCTTTTGTTGGAGGAGTTAGGGGGGGGGCAGATGTGGGGGTAACTGATGACTGGGAAGTAATTAGGCCTGGATTGGAAGTTAGCAGGTACCAGCAGCTGTCCTTTGTGGGGATCATAATGGGGAGTGAGGAAGCGAGAGCAGACCTAGTACCCTCTGTGGGGTGAAGGGGTGGGGTGGGGCTCTCCACCCCTATCAGACTGCACCCATCTGCGAGTCTGAAACATCACAGCTGTGTCTCTTGGCCACTTGGCAGCCCCACAGTCTTATGGCTTCTGCACGGACTTTTTTATAGGTCGATTTGCAGAGACCCTTGACCTTCTCTTTGTTCAGTCTGTTCAGGAGCTCCGTGGAGCTCAGCCCTAAGCTACAGACCATGATCTCTTAAGAAGTACATTTAGACGTGCCTGACACATTCAAGCTGGTGGTGGGAGGCTGGATATGGTTTTGTAGGCAGTATACACAAGATAATTCTTCATTGATGACTCCCAAGTGTGACTCGTATCTTATATGATACAGGACTGCTAGTACTATGTTATAACATATGAAGTGCTGGGAAAGTTCTGTCCTTGTCACCAATATAGTCTGTAAATTGTTCTGTAAAGCACTTTGAGAACCCACCTTTAAATGTGCTATATGAAACAAGCAATTATTATTATTATTATTACTACTATTTTTATAGTTAGGGCCCCTGAGTCACGTAATTCACAGAAGAGTGCAGGTTTAATTTATGACTGTTTTCCAGGCATGGTGCAAACTGAGTGTTACAGGTGCTGGGTTATCCATGAGTTTCCATTGCAAAACCTTTTTAGTGCAAAAGTGGATCCTTGTGCTGTTTCAGCATGAATCCTTCCCTCTCCCTCTTCCTGTTCTTACAGCAACAAGCAAACTGATTTGGCAGACGAGTTACAAAACTCGGAGTATTCCGCACTCCGAAGTTTTATCAAAAGTAATCGAATTTGCAAATGGCTGCCATGTCTGAAAACGGCCTGTTCTGATTTTTAAAAAAGTTTTGTATTAAAAGTGTTAAATGGGAACCCAGATTTTTCAGGATCTCATTACGTAACTTCAGATTTTGAACATGCAAATAAATCCGATTGTGCCGGAGAGCACAAGCATTCAGATGTTAAAATAAGATGCCTATTAAAAAGGCGCTGAGGTGGTGTAGGCACTGCCGAACGAATTGAACGTTGGAGTTCTCAGAGGGACGGTTCGAGATCTTGCAGTTGGCCCACACAACATACATTGTAGTCTGCAGGAAAATAAGTGTAAAAAATATTCAAAAAGCTCTGCGTATCTCCTTCTGGATCTCCGGCCCTGATGCCTTTGTCTCCTTTCCTCTTTTATTAATAGGGTTTTAGTGGCTGACAAATTGATCCTTTCGTAAAAGGAAAACAAAGGGCTTTGTGCCCTGATGAAGTGTTTCTCGAAACCCGCCTCACAAAATCAGTTCATTGTACCTTTTGTGTCTGAGCTATGGGGCAGGCAGGGACTGTGGAGTGGCTGGCTGTTAACCTACCGCTTCCTATGGGCATTTAAACACCAGTGTTTTGAATACAAGGCTGAATATTTCTAATTCAAATCCTGTGTGCTTTGTAATAACTGTTTTACGGTCATAATTGACCTTGGCTATATTTAATTAATCAGAAAGCTATCGTCAGTTTTACTGTAGGTGTACAAATGCAGTAGACTCTGCATGTTGGAGATAGAATGAGGTTTGAAGGCTGATTATTAATGTTTTGGTGACCTAGGCTATTTTTTTTGTCATTTTCACGGGAGGTGTAAAGGACATGTAAACTTTTGTTCCTGTCTATCGGATATATCTCTTTGTCTCCCTTTTTCGAGAATAAAATCCTGGTCCTTTAGGCAGCGAGCCGGGGCTGGCAGTATAATCGCTTGCTGGATTGACCAAGCAGAATTAAACAGATTCCCTTTATTGGCTGATAAATGGATTCCTTTCATCCCTTTGTGGAGCGAGTTTTGTGTGCGTGTGTGTGAGTGTCTCGATGGCAAAAAGGGGGAGAGACTGGCTGAGACTTTGTAATTAAGGCTTATATTTAACCGCTAATTAAGCACTGTCCTGTTAATGGCAATTAATCCCAATTGTATTATGCTTTCTGAATATCTTTTGATCTGCTCATTAGGAGGGAGATAAAGGGTTATAAATGCCACATTTAGTGAAGGGCAGGACTTGCCTCTTTGATACTCTCTCACTTTACATTCACTCCAATAATGAATAAATTCATCCTGATCCTACAACATGTAAATGCATGAATTTTAGAAAAGGCAATTTGTACTTATAGTCACTTCTGCTCCTAAAGAGGTGATGTGATTAGCTACTGTCTTATTTTCTGCTGTTTTAAAGCTGGGGGTTTAATGTCTGTTGGCTGTTGCATCATCACATTATCTTAAAGGTAAGCTTGCAATGGTAATTTTATGTGTAAATGTTTACTGCAAACAAATCTGCTTTTTTAAGCTGTAGCACAGATGTTCTGAACTGTTATCTATGTGGTAACAAATGTTCAGACACTTTTTAGGTTCCTGAGCTAGGACCTGGAAGGTAGATTTATTTTTATCCATCCTGCTGCGATTTGCTGTAACTTGTGTGAACTTTTTGTCTGTGTTTCATGAGTAAAAGCAAATAGGCTTGTGTGAATTAATTGGACATTAACGAACAGACCAGGTATACTGAGCCTGAAAGACATCACCCGAAACATTCGAATTACTCAATGAAACCTTTTTTTATCTAGTGATAACTGAGGTCCGTGTGCTTGTAACAGATGGCTGTTCGGGAATACACGAAAAGGCCTTGTCCATGTTTTCTCTGAAATAGAAAACTGATATGACACTGTTTGTATGGCAAGAGAAGAGTGCACTCTCGCTGTGCTCCCAGATACAATTAATTAACACTTGCCAGCGTTTCAGCAAACACAAACTTTCATCAGGACATAGCGCCTTTGGCTAAACAAGGATCATCTATAAACTAGAATCCCATAACAGCTGGTGTTCCATGCGAGAGGAATCCCCTTTTCTGAAAGGAGCAGTCGTGGAATAAAAGAAAATCATCAGGCCAGAGCACAATTTTCAAGCATCTTGGGCACCAAAAAATCCAGTCAATCCTGTACTTATAACTCAACAGCTTCAAGCAATAGTTATACAGTATTTCTATGACAATACAACATTCACTTTTACATTTCTACATTCAAAACGTGCTGGGCAGGCCCTGTTTAATGAAAAGGCTTGCAAATTTAAATCCCTGTTCGATCCGTAAGGTGTTAAAAGTATTAGGCCAAGAAATCCAGAATGCCTGCCTCTTTAGAAGTATATTAATAATGTCCAAGCACGACAATATAAGAGACATTAAGACAGTTAAGATCCTTGTCTAAAGCTGTTGCTCGAGTTAACATATTGAGTTAAAGGACACTTCTTTCCTGTAAAGCCAAAGAGAACCTAATTAGCTGTTTAGGTGTCCCATTATTTTTTTTTTCTTTTTCTGATCTTCCCGATAAGGCTGAAGTGGATGACTGGCTCAGTGACGGATGAGGTGCTATTAAGTGAGATGGGAGTTAAAGATTATCAGGATTGCCAGAAATCCTTTCAGCCACACACCTGTGGCAGATCCCCCCCGCCCTCTCAGACACTGGAGAAAAACAATAGGCCTGTTTCAGTCTCCAGTGCGTCTTCACTGGCCTGTCTACCTTTACACTATGGAGAATGGAGGGGGTCTTAGTCAGAGGCCTGTGAGCGCTGAACAATAGCACTGCAGCGCTTGCAAAGGTCTGCTGATGTTCCCATGCCTGAAGGCTGGTGATTCAGGCTCTGCTGGCCCTGCTCAGCCCCTGGGCTTTGGGACAGGGGCAGAGTATTTGTCAGTCCTGGGCTTTGCTGTATCGCAGTATATCCCAGTGCAGCGGTGATGCAAAGGTGCTCTTGAACTCCTCTTTGAATGAGGGCTTGCACTGCTGTAAATGAGGGGATAAGCAGTTCAGTTTATTTGTCATTTGAACATGCGCAATGAAATGCTTATTTGCATGTAAGATAAGATCAGATCACTTTATTGGCCCTATACAATTTCTTGCATTTGGAATTTGTCTTTTCGCACAACCCAGCTTGCTCTCCATGAGACACACAGACAGGGAGAGACGCCTGGGGTCAGAGCGCAGGGTCAGCCATTTATACGGCGCCCCTGGAGCAGTTGGGGTTAAGGGCCTCGCTCAGGGGCCCAACGGAGTAGGATTCCTCTGCTGGCTGCGATATATGAACCGGCAGCCTTCCAGCCACAGGCGCAGATCCTGAGCCACAGAGCCACCACACCGCCTTCTTGTGCAGTCTTTAAAGGAATCACCCAAAACATAAACACAGAACAGCAGCAGCAACAACAACAACAACTTAAAACAAAGTTAGACAAGCAGTGTGAGAAAAAACACAGCAGTGTGAGCCAGTGGTAGGGGTAGAGTTCCGTAATCGGACAGTTTGTGGGCAGAAACCGTCTCCTAATCTGGAGGTTCGTGCCTTTATGCTCCTGTAACGCTGACCAGAGGGAAAGGGGAGAAAAGTGAGAAACCAGGGTGATTGTTGTCCTTAGCGATACGTAATGTAAAAGCTTACAGGGTAAGTCTGCGTAGAACTGTTACTC